TTGCCATTCCCTCCTGGCGTCCAAAGTGTTTGTCGATGAAGCAACTGACATTCATTTGGCTATTCCCGTGTAGGTAACTCTGTGTCTTACCCACTCTGGGACGAGACATTGCTCTGCTTCAGTGGTTGTTTCTATGCAGGGGATTCTGAGGTTTCTGTGGCTGGACAGACAGGAGCATGGTGTGAAGCTCTGGTTTGTAGGTTGTGCGCGCCTGTAAATATTGTACCGAGTGTCTCTGTTGTTGTTTTGGGTCTTTTGTTTTTTGGTTTGTTAACGATGGGGCACATCCCACCCTGGGGAGCCAAGATGCTGGCGGCAGGCAGAACCCGTGGCAAGGATTGCAGGAGCGTCCCAGCAGCTGCTGAGAGTTCTCACTCAGGGGACCTTCCTTGCTCTCCCACTAAGGCACCAGCCGCTGGAATTCACCCGTCTACAGATATTTCAGGCAAGCCTGATGGCCACTAGGTGGCTCAGCTTCTTTGCCTTGTAGGGCTAAGTAAAGCTAAATCATGAGATCCCAACAAAGCATTTTTTTAAAAGTCTATATGATCAATTGTTATTTTTATTGTGTTCATGCAAACAATCAAGCTAAATTGTAACTATACAGTAAATAAATTGGTCTTAATTTGGCTCTTTAATAAAAATGAGGGTGACTTTAGGGAAAAAAATGTGTTTCAATAGGGAATTATTAGAACTAAAACGTTTTTTCCTTTCACCAGACTATTTGTTGTAATTCTTGCTATTCTAACTTTTGCCCAGTAATACTAAATTTTATAACACAGTTCGTCTCCACCAGATTACAAGCCCTACTTGTACTCAAGGAAACCACCTCTAGACACCACTGCCACCTCCTTCTGTGCCAAGGCCTCATCGTCCTTCTGACAGAGAGCAAGGATCTCCTGACTCTGAAACAAAACTTTGTTCCTCCTCAACATGAAGTAGTTTCAGAAGAGACTCAGCCCCTTTCCCATGAAAGATTTCAGAGCCCAGATCCTTGTGGGGAAGATGTGGTGGGCAGTTAGACAGAATGAGCAGAGCAAGGACGATGGGACAACCGGAGGAGAAATGGACGGACCCTGAAACATGCTTCTCACCACTCCCACCGCACTGGCGCTGGCTGTGGAGGAACCTATGCAGACGGACCTTTACATTTTGCCTAGTGGGACAACTATTGCTAATATGTAAAAATTACTCTATTCATTTGGGGAAGAAAGTCACATATGGGGACTTTTATATGTTGGGACCCACTGTCTGGGGAAAGGATGCAGGGATGTCTTCTTTAAAAGTTGCTGCTGTGGCTTCCTGGGTGGGATGTCTCTTACTGGGTGTCCTAGTTATTGTCTTTCAGTATTAATAACTACAATATGAATTGCTCTGATCATTTCACCCTCCCTTATAGTAATGGACATACTAAGCTGCCGGCTGGCTGGTTTCTGATATGTGGGGTGACTGTTTACTCATATATCCCTGCCAACAACACCGAGGGGCCTTGTTCCTTGGCACAACTAGTCTTTACGCCCCAGAAACATAACAGGGTCCAAACCAGAAGAGACCTTCTCACGGCCATGGCACCAGACTGCAATGACCACCTCCCCCTGGGGAGCCCTGCTGACTATTGCTTTAACCATGTTTGTTGTGCCAGTAATGGTAGGCCCCTTAATGTAGAAGTGACCCGGCTAGCTTGTAGCAGGGTCAAAGCGCTGAATGCCACTTCCAGGGCTATACAGGGGATAAATCAAGAGGTGAGCCAGGTGAGGGACACAGTTCTAAAGAACTGGGCAGCAAGATTACTTACTGTTGCGGCATAACCATGATTGTGAGGAATTTAAAGGACTGTGCTGTCTTAATCTTTGACAATTCTAGATAGAAAACAACATTCAACAAATTAGGGAAACCATCTCCAAAGTAAAACACAATGTTCGTTTTGTGTTTTTTATGGATTTGACCTCACCAACCTAACTTCCTGGCTACCTAACCTGTTTGGGATGTGGGAATTCTCTTAAATTTTTCTCCTGTTTATTTTTTGTAGTCTGGTTGCTTACTGCTGTATTCAATCTCTTCCTATTTTGAGACCCTGTATTCCATCCCCCAAGAACTGCTATTGAGGCAGAAGCAAATGCAGTCTGGCAGGATGAGATTTTTCATCTAAAACAAATCTCATAGCTATGAGATGGTAAAAATAGCAGTGGGGAAATGATAGGGACATAAATAGAATACTGGGGACCAGCTATAATTTAAAGAAATATTAATCATGCTGTTAATCGTGATTGTTTCATTCTGATGGCGCATTCTAGGGAGGGGAATGACCACTTCCCCATGCACTTCATTACCTGGGAGCTCACCTGGAAATACGGCCCCTCCTCCCCATCCCAGAGCTGCCTATTATCATGGAAAGATTAACAACCTTGTCACAGAAACCAGAGCTAACAGCCCTTTGCATACTCCCAGCCTTTGCATACCCGCAGGCCTTTGCAAATGTCCAGCCTACATTACCTGTGATCTGCTCATTTGGCATACCTTTTGCCTACTTCCCCATGAAGTGCAACTCCCAGCCAGATTAGAATGTGCCCTCTTTAATCAGAAAGAAACAATCACGGTAATCTTCATCCTTCTACCCAATATAAGCTGCTGGCTTATGGTGGGGGCAGAGCAGACTTTTGTAGATGACCTGCTGCTCTCCCATACTGTCAGCAGTATTGGAATAAATGCTCATATATGATTCAACCCTGTCTCTGCTTTATTGGCTCAAGTAATGACAGGCAGTGCAGACCCATTGATTGCCCAGTTACAATAATATGAAGTAACATGTTTATTCAACTATTTCATTAATTTAATTTCTAGTTAAATTATCATGGAGGGAAAAATAAGGGAAATGTACAGAATTTGTGCTGCTGTGAGGACATATTGACAAACGACTGAGCACATCACCCTGTGCCTCTCCAGGTCATGGCAATGGTCTCCGGGCCACGTGCAGTTGGCAGTGCTAGGACAAGGCCGGGATAAAGTACTGGAGGGACACGTCCTCGTGGAGCAGGTCAAAGTGCACCATCTTGTGACTCACGATATCTGGGGACAGAAAACACCCATCACTATGGAGCCTCTGTGCCCAGGGCTGCCCCCAGAATCCAGGACCCACTGAAGGTGACGTCTGCTCCAGGAACACCCAGCCCCCACAGGGACGGTCTGCGAAGGCAAGGTCAGGCACCGCCAGGTACAGGGCAAACTTCACACAGAGGCACAGGGCAGATGGAGCGCCCCAGACGCAGAGTGATGGCAGAGCGACAGGACCCAGCAGCCAGGACCCATGACCACAAGACGTGGAAGACAGAAGCACTTCCACGCAAAGTAAGTCTCCTCTCAGGGGCTGTGATGTCAGCGGCAAGGAGACAAGTGAGCCCTTCCTCAGGTACAGGGAACGAGCGTGCTGCTGAGGCAGGTGTGCTACCAAGGACGGGCCGACCAGAGCCAAGGGAGGGGTCAAGAGGACACAGACGTCAGCTTGAGACACAGGAAGAAACCTAGGCATCGTGAGGGGAACCTAAATCCAAGCCAGATGGTGTCAGGGCTGCGCACATGTCAGCTCAGATGTCAGGTCAGATTAACAGGACGGTCAGCGCATTCTTCCGCAGCCCCTCTGGGTGCAGAGACCATGCCTGGCGCCCGGTGAGACAGCACAGCCCCACCTCTGTTACCTCTGAACCCGGGGGAATCCCAATCATCTGCCGGCCCTGGACAATCAGAGGCCACGTGACCCAGCCACCATGCATTTACGAGACCACAAACCAGCTGAGAGACCACAGGTGACTCAAGCGTGTGAAATGTGAAAACAGTCACAGGCACACTCACTGCAGACGCCCCTTGTGGGATTCACTTGTTGTCCAGCAAGAAACTGCAGGAACTTCCTGATGTCCACCTGCACCTCCGCCATCTGCTCTGGGCTGCAGTCCTCAGACTCGTTTTCAGAGGCTAAAATGACAGGAACAGCTAGATGTAAAAGCAGACTGTTTGCTTAAATAAATGAGCTGCGTTACACTGATGTTAGCATACTGGACAAATAGTGCGAGATGGAGATAGGGCCCTTTGTTAAGCAAGAACTTATTAAATCCTGACTCTGAAACACTATGTCAATTTCCAGGAAATCTTCATTTCCAGGGCCTTGAAACATGACCCAATCTCCCCCTTTAGGTCAAAGGAGACGGGATCCCTTAGTACACGTGTATAGTTAATGCTTCGTATGCTTATGGACAGCTAATCGAGGCATCTCATTCCAGAGTGGAAAGAGACCTTTCAACTATGGAAAGCATCAAGGTAAGAAAGAAAACCCTCTTTCTTGTTCATTAAAACGAACACAATGAGGCAGAGCAGAAGAAGTCCTCTCCCTCAGCATTACCAAAGCTTTGACCACATGGGCCTCACTCTCCCCACAGCACCCTCCACTCTGAAGGCCCAGCCTCAGAGCGATGCTAAAATGTGCATAGCAACCTTGGGATGAGACACACCAATTCTGAAAGTGGAAGGGCCCAGCATAACTGTTTGGGACACAGGCGTGACTGAAAGGGTTTCAGGTCACTAGCAAACGCATTCCCCAGGTCCTTGGCCTTCCCCCCCCCACCCCTCCCCCCACCCACATTATGACTGCAGCACAAGAACTGATTCCGTGGCCTATCACCTGGCAGGAGACAGGCAATCTGCTCACCTGAGAAAAGTCTGCATTTGCTCATCTAGTCCTCTAAGTGTTAGAGACCCAAGGAGGAGGAAAGGAGAAACCTCATCTACCTTCCAACTGTGCTCCAGGTGGGAACATGCCATCTTTAATCGCAGAAACGGGGATTTAAGAGCGAGGATGGTGCCACGTTTCCAGACCAAGCACACCCTCCAGCCAGGCACACTCATGCCCAGGAGGCCCGTCTCTCCACGCCACTGTCCATCCCAGCAGCACGTAAGCCAGCCTGTCGCCTGTCTCCCCAAGCAGAAAACAGTCTCCCGAATTTCACCCTCTTCCCGCTCATTCAGAGGCCTCAGTAAGGTGTGAAACAACTTTTCAGAAGCAAAACACAATCTACCAGAAAACCTACCTGATGGCGGATTCCCAAGATCTTTAAAATGAGTTGTAACGCACACTAGTTCCGACTCTATTTTCAGGTTCAAGTCTCCATTGAGATTTGCTTCAATAATCTGCAAGTGGAGTGTTTCACAAAGTCTTAAAAAAGAAAAGGAAGCAAAAAAAGAAAAATAAAGTAAAAATACACCACAAACATCAGCTTCCATACCAGGTGACGAGGGAGCCTACAAACCCCCAGCTCCCTCCTGACAGCACCAGGACCCGCATGGCATGGCAACAGAGAGAAGACAGGCCAGAGGACAGGGCCTCGGAACACCCCGCAGGGAAGAGCCCTCAGAGCAGAGACCTCGGCAGGGACAGGTGAACAGGTAGAGGCTGGTGGGCGAGGCCTGGGAGGCTGGCCTGCTGGCTCCGCCCTGCACAGAGAATCACGGGTCCTTAGACGGCTGCCCTGCCTCCGTCAGGCTTGGAAGCTCTCCCGAGGCCCCCGGGGCATCCCCAGAGGAAGCTCCCAGGCTGACGACAGCCCGACGGTAGGCAGGCACGGGAGCACATGTCATCATGGCTCTCACTGCTTCGCCCAAAGCCAATTGTCAATTAAATGAGCTCTGAGACTAAGCCATGAAAGAAAATTACTCTTAACTGGACACAACTCTAGAGATGAAATGGCCCATGAACCTTTTCCAGGTTTCAGAAAACCTCTGCAATTCCAAAGAGTTCTAAAAGCCAACCTCCACTCCAGGACCGGCCAGCACGCGAACGGCCCCCTGAGTGCAGTCCCACAGGCGGCTGGATGCTGAGACAGTTCCCTTTCCCAGGAGCCAGCAGGTGGGCAGGGTCCTGAGACACCAGCAGAGAAGTTACCAGGCAGCATCGAGCGGCTCAGAGGAGGGTGGGAAGGAACCCTGGCAGCGGGAGAAGTCTGGGAGCAGAGTGCTTTCCAGGGCGATATGGGAAGACAGAACCGGGAAAGAGCTGGCCCTGGGGGAAGGGCGCCTTGAGGGTGGTCCTGCAGGGAGGGTGGCCAGGGGACAAGGACGAGGACTGGCAGAGGATGAAAATCAAACGTTTACGCTTCATCGGGTGGCAGTGGTTTTTAAAAGCTTCAAGGACATAGGACAGGTGCTTGGTTGAGTGGAGGAAGAATTCAGAGAACCAGCTGACACAGGCTCCTCCACACAAGGCCCGGCTGCCTGCGGTGCCATGTCCTGCTGCACAGTGGGCCACCACAAAGACAGACAGACAGCCACGCGCCATCTACTTGGCATGAGAGTGCTTAGAGTGAGACACTGTGGCCTGGCCTCACAGGACACTCAACTCACTGCCAAAACCAGCACCTCATAAAACACAGACGTTAGCAGATGTGCAATGTCTTTCCTAGCATAAGGGAGGGAAGCCAGAGCGGCTGAGCGTGTTGAATCTACTGTGAGTATAAACACAGGCAGGAGGCCGGTGTGAACACTCTCCCCAGGGAGCCCCTGGAGACACTCGGGCAGGGTCCCCAGGGCACCTGGGAAGCTGTAGCTCTCAACCACCGGCAATGAGGGGACCCCGCACGCTGAGTGCCAGGGCACCCACACCTCGGGCAAGCGTGCCGCCCACAGCAAACACTTCAGAGCTCTTTGCTAAAGAAGTTGTGACTTACAAGTTGATTGCTGATATTTTTCATTTTTTCCACAACGCTCTTCATCGTCTTCAAGACCGGCAGATAAATGCTCACCTACAAGCCCAGTGAGAAAACCAGAGCATGAGAATGTCAGAATAGCAAGTGCCGGCCGGTGCCCGTTCACTACCTGGGTTTGGAATGCGTGGAAGCTTAAAAGCTCCAGAATCCTGGGTTTTTAAACTGTCTGAATAAAGTTCTTTTTAAAATATGAAAATAAAAACTATCAGAGTTTCACTAGCTCACTCCTGCCTCTGGTTACCTCAGCGACCGGTCCCTGTGGCACTTCTGGTCCCAGGACCCGCCTTCAGCTAGAGGCCTTCATGCACCGGGGACACGGCGGTCCTCTGAGGGATGCCCAAGACTCAGGCCTTTCCACCCAAAAACGTGAGGAGGGGAAGTGCCTGCACCAGCGTCAGAGGGTTCCCACTGTGCCTGGTGCCCTGCTGCTGCCCAGGAGGGGCCTCTAGAATTCCCTCTCCATCCTCCTCCTTCCGTAAGTGTGAGCAGGAGGCAAAGGAGCCTGGGCATTACCATAGTCCCTGGCCCGGGACCAGTCAGCAGAGCGGAGGGAGCCTCCCTGCCCGCTGTCACCGGCCGGACATCACTCCTCACCGACATGGCAGCGTCCCTTGTGACCCACACCGGTGCCTGCGGCCACCACCCAGCAGGAACGCCAAGGGCTTCCAGTGCGTCCCTGGCGGACA